TCCTCAGTTCCAGATCGTGTCGTCATTGCTATGAGACAAAAACCAGTTCTAGCATGTGGCCTTCATTGTGTGTGGGGCCCTTGATGATCTGGGTCAGTCCCATGATTGCCATGATGGACATAGCCACCGAGCCACTTCAAATTCAGCACTCAGGGGAGGCATATTTAAGTCTCCTAGTACCTTCAGTCAAGGAAATGTCACGTCAATCTGGCCAGAGTTTGGCAGCTCAGGCTACACAGCAGAGAGGCCACTACAGTCCCAACCATCCCAACCATTACCTAGAACCCAGCATCACAAACTGGGTCTCACATTCTGGTATCTGTGTAGCAGCACCTCTGAAAGCCACAGGAATCTCCTGGATGGCTACAGCCACTTTCCGCTCCACGTTTGTGATAGTTGTAATTACAAAAGTCAAAGGGGACATTTCAAGCTGGTATTTAAGGAAAAAAACACACACAATATTTTGCTTAAATATTGGCTTATTTCTAGTGACTTTGGCAGCCATTCACAAATCAGTTAAATTATACTTAGTTTGTGGATGTCAGTGCCATATGCTTGGAGTCTAAAGAAACTGCCAGAAAAAGTATGAGAGAAATTGTGGCTGTAATTGATTACTCAAAGCCACTATTGATTTTCAAGCAGACCACAATTTCAAGGGCCAGTTCACTTGGGCTTTAGAGCCGCTTGGAGAATCTGAATCCTCAAGAAGAGGGGTAGAAGTTTTTTGAAAGATCTAGATTTTCCCCCCTGCCCCTTTGGGATGAATTTATTCTGCATCATACTCCAAATTTAACTATAACTGCCTTGTTGGAGGTTAAGTCTGTTCAAAGTTGCATTGGCTAGTGTATCAGAAGGGAAGGGTACTTTAATAGCATGTGGCTTGGCTGTCTACAGAATAACTGGGGTAGTTTTCATTACAGTGTCAGCTTATGGCACAGTTAGCATGGGGACCTTTAGAATGGATGTTGGACTCTGCTCTTAAAGAAACTGAGCAAAACCCTATGCCAAGCCAACTTTGGGTCAACAAAAATTCAATTCTTCCACATTTATACTATATACACCTTCTGCGCCAGTTGCACCCATTCCTGGATCATGAGGCTCTATTCACAGTTACTCATGCCCAGGTCACCTCTGGAATGGACTTCTGTAACATGCTCTTTATGCAGCTGCATTGGTTGCTGGTGTGCTTCCGGGTTCAGTTTTGTTTTTGACCTCTAAAACCCTACATGGCACGGGACCAGGTTATTTGCGGGACCACCTCTCCCCATTTACATCTACAGTCCCATCAGGTCTGGCAGGAGGGGCATGTTAGGGGTCCCATCTGCTAAAGAGTTCTATCTGATGGGACCCAGGAGGGGAGCCTTTTCTGTCACAGCACCCACCCTTTGGAACATCATCCCCCTGGATTGGCCCCAACCCTATTGGTTTTCAGGAAATCCTTAAAACATGGTTTTTCCAGCAGGCTTGGGGATCCCATGGAAATAGGGAGCCCATGAGATGGTTACATTGTACATAGGATGCTAGTCCATTCTCCTGTGGTCTTATTTATATTTGTGTCTGTTTTTAATTGTTGTTTTTAACTGTTCATTTTATTGTATGCCACCCAGAGTCATGTTTGTGAGATGGGCAGCTATATAAATTTGATCAATAAATAAATAACTGAATATAGTATAAATTAAACCTATGTTCACATATTGGTTGACTCACTGATATTGTGCTTCTGCTAGTCATGAAGAAAATGAGTTGCACCTAGGCTCAACCAACACCATTTTCCCACCTGTATTGGACTAATGAACGATTCTCTCTCATTGGTGGCTCCTAACCAGCCTTCTGTGGTGGCTACATGACAAGGTCACTTGATCCTTCATCTTCTTGCTGCACAAAGCCTCACTCTGAGGAAAAAGGATGGAATGCAGACCCATCAGGTGAGACCAGAAAGCCCTGCGGTGGAGCCCCAGAGGGGTGCTTCTGCTTTGCCCAAGTTCAGTCATTTACTGCTAACCTGAAAACCGTTTTTGGTGTTGCTACAAAGTAGTGATGAGTTCTCTTACAGTTTTATTTTCTAGATCCATCTCTTCCAAGCTGAGTTGCTACCTGAGGTGAGAATCCCACTTGGATTTACAGAAAAAAAAAAAAACTTGGAAAAGAAACTGTGCAGAACAGTTTGGCTTCCTAACAGAAGTCTAGCTTCCAACCATCCTTATATTTCAAGGAGGACAGCTGACATACTTTTGGCAGGTACCACCAATCCTGGAGCCAGCCATTAGTTTTATAACAGACCTGTGCCAGAAGTATGTATATGCATGCGTACAAATCTGGATAGGTTCTCCTTGGAGGCCTTCAGGGCTTTTCTCCAGGAGGGGATTCTGAAAGTTAACATGAAAGTGTTGATGTAGACAAAGAAGGGGGATCTGTGATTCTATGGGAGGCAGGATGGCACATTTCCAGTTCTGATTACAGTGAAGGGACACATTCAGAGTACAGCCAATGTAAGAGCAACTGAGTTCACTTGACTGAAGTGATGACATCATGTTAGAAAACCCTGGATGCTTTTTACAGTGATATTAACATGCATAGTATCTGATCTTTAAAAAATTGAGTTTTTCCTCATTGCTCTATGAAGAAGCTCTTTGGATACAGTGGGAAAGCAATAGCAAATGAAAGTAGGTGAAATTAAGAGATGCAAACAGGGGACTTTTGAGTGAGGGAATGGCAAGCTAAGATGTCTCCAAAGGATCAGAGATGGCACTTTGGCTAAGACTGGTTAGTGTGGTGGACTGGTGACAAGCCCAGCCCAATAAGCCCTTATCCTCTGGATAAGGAGAGGACAAGAGATTGTCCACTTGTCCTCCAGATGGTTGCTCCTCATGAGGAGACTGCAGAACAGTGGTCAACTCATGGGTTTGAGCATGGGAGATGAGGGAAGCCATCAAGCTCTCGACTGCAATGGAGCCTATATGGACACTAGGTTCATCAAATCCCCCCCAAAAACACCTTTGGAATAGAACTATTTTGTGAAAAGAGCTAAGTGAAAAGAGATTTTCTGAGCAACAAGTCTGAAAAACTACCAGGTGAGTGATCCTTCATTCTAGAATAAAGAGGGAAAAAATTAACAATTCAAAGAATTTGAAGAATACAAAGTAAATGGCAAAAAGCTAGATAAGAATTTAATTCAAGAAAGTTTGAAATGAACTAAGGGACCAGACAAATTTGAAATATTGGATTTAATATTTGCAATATTATGACTTTTGCTTTAAGACTTTTGAAATGATTAAAAACAAAAAAATATCTTCATGGGAACATAAATTGTTTAGTCTTTCAGGAAAGAGATGATTGGCTCATTTTTTAAAACAAAGAAGCCAAATAAATTTGAGACAGACTGTGTGATTACAGAAAGGAGACACTAGAGGGGACTAAAGATTCCAGGCAGAGGAGAAAAAGAAGAAAAGCCTATTTTTTACTTTTGAATTTGATGACCAGCAGCAAAGCTTGCAAAAATGACAGATAAAGGTATTATACTGGAGACATTTCAAAGGTTTTTTGAAGAAATGGAAAGAAGCTCACAGCTCAGATGTCAGCAACAATGTCTGCTCAAGTGAATGCACTATTTAAAAGAGATCTTAAAGAAGAAGTGAAAGAAGTGAAAGAGAATAATTTGGAAGAATTTACAGATCGACAGGATAAAAAGATAAAACAAACACCAGCCTATGCAGAAATACCAGAAAATAAAATAGAAGTTGTGGAGTTGAAAACTAAAGTGGAAATACAAACGATCAGCCAAGAGATGAAAAACGACCTGGGTAATGACTCAGTACTGGATTTACAAAAGAGGGCTGTCAAAGTCGTGAAGAAACTCTCGAGATGAGAGAAAGAACATTTGGATGGAGATCAAATCCTACGACAGCATCTTAATGAAGCAAAGATTAAGAATGGTAGGAGCAAAAGAAAGGAATCTAACGTTGACCCGTTTGATCAGTGTTAAAACAAGAAATACTTTTATAAAGTTCTGGGAACTCTTTATGGATTTTTTGCTGATACTGGATAGAAACGTTAATGATTTTGGATTTGTAGTTGGATAAGGGTTGAGATATAGGAAGAAGTGATTTATATCATGTAATATCGAAGGGGGTAGAGAAATACTAAATTTGCTTGTACTTGTAAAGAAGAGTGGAAGTCACTTCTTTAAATATTCTTTTCTTTTTTCTTTCTGCACTTTTTTCTTTCTTTTCTTTATATTCTTTTCTTTCTCTTTGATTTCCATTTGCATTATCTTTTACTATTGTTAAAATCTTTAATAAAAAGTAATTTTAAAAAAAGAGATGTAAACAGCACTCCTCCCTCAAAAAAATTTAAAGATGATTTTAGTGAGCATTTCACTCTGCCCCCCCCCCCAAGCAGTTTTGCACCAGGCATATTTTCTACTCTAATTTTTAAATAATGCTGAAGTGATTGTGTTAGACTCAAAAGTGGCAGCTGTACAGTCCAAAGAGTAGGCTTAAAATGTTTAATGTCTAAGAATTTTAGGGCTGTTGTCCATTAAAACTCATGCTTTACTAACCTATTTTCTTTTTTTAAAATCCCATGCCACAAGTCTTTTCAGTGAAATTGTTTGGTTATTTGCTTTGTTATTTTAACCATAACTGTATGTTTCTCTAATATAATTATGGATAATGAAGCCTGCTCACATTAAACCTAGTTTTTGGAACCTCACTGAAACAAAATGAAAATGAAAATCTTAAACGTCAGCATGAAAATCAGATTGTTGGCTCATCTTACTGTTTGTTCAGTTTGATGGTAGCTCTCTAGGATTTCTGACAAGTGTCTTTTCTGTCATTACTAGTGGCTTCTTGGATGGAAATAAGCTGGAGATTGAACTTGGGGATTTCTACATGTAAAGCTTATATTTCAGGGTTGAGGTGCCGCAGATGTTCTAATGAAGTAGCATATATATCTGTGATAGTATATTATAAGACACAACAAGAACAACAAGAAGAACTCACCAAGAGTAGGGTCATACTCCCATATGAACCGCTTGGTCAGAAAACGTACGACGAGAGCTATAGGGAACAAAAATAAGTTCAAGTGAATTTATGACACAGAACAGCCCAAGTGGTTTAAATGAGTACAGTTTAGATAGATTCTCAGTTCAGCTGTAGTTCTCCAATTTGATACCCACTTAATATATTGGATGGATCCAGGCTGCTGTTAAAGCTCAACACACTAGGAAAAGTTTCTGTTGATGGATTGGTCTTTATTTTATGGAACAGAGGGCTGATTTTTTTAAAAAAAGCAATGTGTAAATCTACCCTTTCAATGCAGCATTGAAGATAGAATAGACTGCCGTACGCACTCAAATGTGTACTTTTAGAATTTGGTTTCAATGGCTTCCATGTTGAACTGAGCATATGACAAATGGGCTTTGGCTCTGTATACCCACGCGTTCCAGTTTCGATTACATTTTGCACAACATTTCAAAATATGGGCACGTTCTGAAACACGGATCTGACAGCTGATCTTTTGAGTTTTACAAACCACACTGAACATCCACATAAACCAGAATTGGGTCTGTAAAATGTAATTTAGGGAGCGTATAAATTAAATTTAAAGAATAAAAATTCAAACCTTGGAAGGAAATTCAAACTAGTTAATTGGTTTAATTTTTTCCCTATAACACCGTCTTACATTTTATTTCATTGCTAGACATATCCCAGGTTTCCTCTGAGGAGCTCAAGACAATATATTTCATTTTCTCCCATTTTCTCCTGACAACAGAGAAGACTGACCTAACTCTTTACCAACAGTGATTCAGTGCTCGCTGTATTTGATTTGTTAAAAAAAGAGAAATGAAAACATGCCATGGCTCTCAGCTTTTAGTGGAATCAAAGAAAGAACCAATAAACTCTAATAAGAACGCTTTTTCGTGCGTTGTGATCCATCATCAGAGGAGATTTAAAATCTTGTTACGAACATCTCTTAGTTGAATGAATCATTAAGTCTCAAAAAGTTCAAGTAAACACTCTTAAATATTAGACTCTTACTTCACCTCAAACCTTCAGCAGCTTTCAGAGTCTGCCTCTCCAAAGCTTGAAGATACAATGAGCAAAGACAAAACCTAAATTTAGGATCTGGAGTTTCCTCTTAAGATGATATAGGGAATATATGTCTAAAAGGATTTGCAAATGAGCTACAGATTGCTTGTTGGCTTTTCTTCTTATGCTCTCCCTTGGCTTTTCAAATTTTGATGGAGTTCATCAATCTTACTCACCGGTTCATTATCAAACAAACTGAGCGTTGCCTTTGGCAACAACTGGGGTTTATACCTGTAAGACAGCAGGTGCTATCACGAACATTTATACGAAAATCACCCTTCTCCAATATGTTACTTTCTCGATGTGTCCAACTACAAATTCCATCATCCACAGTAAGCACACTTTGCCTTCCACACGTGTCATCTAACACATCGGGAAAGCAATTCATTGAGAAAACTAACCCAAAGGCTATGTATATAAGAGCAACATTTTTAAAAAGATATACCATTGGGGGGGGGGGGGGGGAGATGAAATGTCAGCTTCTAGCACCAATAGAAGAAACTCAGCACTTTGCTTGAATGTTCTGCCTGTGGTGTATGTTTATTATATTTATTCATGTTTATAATCAAGACCGCAGTTTCTTCCTGTGGATTGTTTACCCCTGAACATCCAAACAACCTGCTGTCTGCAACAGATGTATTTCTACACTAAACATCTTTTATTGTCAGTTGCAGAGACAGAGCATTTGCAGAGCTGTTAAAACACACTTTATGGATCAACCCCGTCACGGTATATTTTCCACAGTGGCAAGGTAATGTAGGATCCTTTTTCCATCTGATAGAGAGATGACGTTGCAGGACATTTTAAGATCTCTGAGGGAAGCCAGTTTCTCAAAGGTCCAGCTTTTCCAACCTCCTGATGAAAGCAGTTCGCTAAGATGTGGGACCACATGATATTATAGCCTTATTATTATCCGTACATTCACATGTTTTAAATCTTTTCTACTTCCCCTGAAAAGGGGACTCCTCTTCCTAGGGGATTTAGCTTCCCTGAATTGGCACAACCAATTTTATTCTCTGTGTGTGTGCGTGTGTGCTCTTTCTAAATGTAAACCCACATTATAGCAGTATTTTGATCTGTCCTATCCAGCTTTGAAGCCCTCAGTCCATAACTCGGTGCAACAGCCGAGTCACATCACATACTTGGGTGAAATTATCTACGGTTTCTTACTGAAATGGAGCCTGAGTCCATTTCAGAAATACAGCACGATCGATACATCAAAATCCCGAATGACAGGTGGATTTTTCATGGTCTCAGTGACAAAATGGCTCCTTTACTTTCTTTTGTGGTTTGACACATGGACATAAGATGATTCAGCCTGGCCCAGCAATTCCAATGCTCTGGGTTGTGTCAGCATGAATGTGGGGTAAAAATTATTATCAGGGGGCTCAATTCCTGAGAGACATTTTTTAAAAGACCTGTATTTAATATGGAATTGATTCTGGTAGAACGGAGTTGGCCTGTGTTTGGTTATTCAAATCAGTGTCCTGGGAACAGAAGCTTTCTCGTAGCTGAAAGTCACCCTTTTTGTGTTGAATGCATCATCCCATCCACCAAATTGTTTCCTCCCTGATGTGGAACACAGGAGGGAGGAGGGATCACCTGGTGGCCTACTTTCCATCTCTATTCTTCCGCTGTGATGTACATCAAAGGTTAAAGCTGGAATAACCACAGGGCAGTCCTAAGAATAGTTTCGAGTGGCTCTTGATATTGGTGTGCCTGTTTGATATATAAAGTAGACGTTTGATAGTAAGGGAGTTTCTCTCTCTCTCTCCCTCTGCCTTTATCCCATTTTGTGTTTTTGCCAGCTGAACTGAGTGGCATGCGTGCTTGCTCTGATCTGGATATACAGATTGACTGGGAGTATGCTGGGTGCAAGCTAAACTGGAAATTTACCAGCAGTAATTTTCAAAATTTGCCCCCCCCCAATTCATGAGCGTGTTCTCAGCTCCTGCCTGCCAGGGGGGCACTTCAACTGCCCAGTTCTCTCCTCCTTCAGCTGACCAGCAGCGCAGCATAAAAATCAGGGTACCAGACAGCCTCCTTGCCCAACTGGTTTTGCAGCAAGTAAACTTCTCCCCTGACAGCCAGGGTACAATGAGTGGCCATCCTGCAAATCAAAATCCATCAGGAGAGAAAGGGAAGATGGCCCTGAAGTGCCGTGACACCTGGACTTCTGGAGAGGAGAAGAAATACCAGGAGCAGGATGAGGCAGAAGCTCCTGCTGATGGAAATCCTGCCATAGTTCCAGGAAAATGCTGCAAAGGTATCTTCCTGTTTCCTCTAGAAAGCCGCCAAACCTACTCATGGGCGAAGATCTTTGGTGCAGCTTGCGAAGATCTAGAGAAGCCCCGTAACTCGGAGCGGTGCAACCCTTCTGGGTGGGGCAGGGCTGTAGACAGATCCAGCCCACCATGCCATAGGAGCAATTGTGCACCGCGAAGGTTTCCGCTGTAGCTCCTCCCACGGCTTCGAATTAAAAAACAGAACATAACATGAACGATTATCTCTTCTTCGGGACTCACTGGTGTCCCATCCAAGGGATGGATGAGTGGCAAACAGCTGCTTAGTTGCATCAGTATGGCAGCATCTGGAGCTCCCAGTCTGTTCACTGACTCAGATCTGAACGATGCAGAATCGAAACATGAAACTAATTATTTGTTTCAGCTTAATCTAGCCAGTTATGCAAAGCATTCCTCCTTGCCCAGAGGCTTCCTTGACTCCTTCTACCACCAAGTACTTGTTACTTATCTTAATAATCTTTTAAGGGGAATTGTTTGATGGATGTGCTCCAGGCACAGGTAATATCTGTACCTACCAGCCCACCAGCCCTTTCCTTTTAATAATGTTTGCTGGAGGAACAGAACTGTCTGGCTTCTCCTTTCCTCTCTCAAATTAACTTGCAACGTGGGTGGGTGTGAGCTTGGTTAGATATCTGATCCTTTCAAAGCTCAACACCTTTCTGCTCCCTGCAGGAACCAGAGGGGACGGTTCTGTACAATCTGACACAGAAGAAGACATGGAGAACCAAACCAAAGTAGGACTCAGAGGAGATTGTTTCAGTCTGTACCAACCAGTTTTCAGCATTCCATCACACTGTAAAGGGACTTAGTGATAGATATTCATAATTCTAAATGGCTTGGATTTCCAGACACCTCTCTAATTCACTGAACTATAAAGAGGAGAGGAGGTACAGCAAATCACATTTGCAAGATTCTGTTACTATAGTCAATCTCAATCAAAGTAGTTTTAGCCTTCCTGTGGAACTGATTTCTTGGTATGGTCTATCTAAAGGTCTTGACATCAGTTCTAACAATCTGTTGTATAGACTCATGTGACAAGAAAAAACCCAATAACCAATAGCTGTTATTGCTTGCACTGAAAAAAATCCTCAAATCATAACCATTCATAGGTATGCTATGCAAAATTTCCACAGGAAGTAGAGCTATTCCTGGTC